TGGGTAAGTTGTACGAAATTCTGTGGGTCCATTGTTATTAGGCATTATGCCTGTTTTGATTTCCACTATAAATAAAGTACATGTGTGCAACAACATGTTACTTACAGTAGTCATCCAATGACGTAGGCTCACTGGCCCGGCCATAGCCAAGATTGGTTAGCGCCTGCACTGACACGGATGCCTCAGTCACAGGAGAACACTGCTGGCACTGTGATAGCAGGTTGCTGAGATCCAAGCTGTGCGCTGAATTGGGTACTGTGTGAGAGCAGACGCTGGTCGTGTGGCCCACCTTGAAAGTGATGTTGACGCGATAGCCGAGCAGGGAGACTTGGCCAGTGCGAGGACGCAGCCACGTGAGTGTGCTCATTGGAGCTGACGTGTTAACATTCACAGACGCCATTCTGGGAACTACAATCATGGGGTGTACGTTCACGCACATACATACGCAAACACACACACACACACGCAAACACACACACAAGTACCCAGATACATAACGGCACCATTTGGGAGGATTTTCAAGAAAATAGATCTTCATGCCAACTCGTGCAATAATCAGGTGCCTAAGCAAATATGATATGTTCACATACAGTCGACTAACTTCGCTAATAACGACTGCAGATACAACGACAATTCGCGAATAACGACAGAATTACCATGCCCAGAGCAAAGTCCTATCTAACTGTAATACATATAATGCGACTTCGGGTATAAGGACATATCGCGAATAAGGACACTTTTCTGATGCCCTGCTGAGTGTCGTTATACGCAAAGTTGACTGTATAGGTACAGAGAGGGAAAGTCCCACCTCAGTACACTATAGTAGTAAGCAAGTACTCACCTGGTTTGACGCGGACTATGAAGTGGAAAGTCGAGTTTGGTGAGGCTCTTTTGTCGCCCATTACAACACACGTGTACACGCCGTCGTTGGCAGCAGTGACGTTGTGGATGGTGAAGTGTTTGCTTGTGAATTTTCGGCACGGCAGCAGAGCGCTGTCATCTTCGTTGAACTGGTGGAATTTGCTGTATTTCCATTGGATGAAACTCATGGAACGTCTATTAGTCCGCAGTTCTGCAAAACAGTTGTACAATGTCATAATGAATACAGGATGAGCGAAAATGATTCTTACAATCGAGGGGAAAGTATTTCCGCGTACCGAAATTTTTTTACTAAGTACACAACCTACTTGTCAGAAGGGGAGAAGACAACAGAGTATACAATAAAAAAACAGCAGGGAGAGTAGGGGCTGCAAAGCAAGCCTGTAAACATACACTGATTCCTATGCTGTGGGTCCCAGGTTGGTCGGAGCAGCCGTTCCGAGGGTACGTCCATGCCTACGGAAGTCCATTGCAGTAGTGCGGGTATAAGCCTGTTGTGCCTCCGTTCTATTTAAATATTATGGTTTCATGAGATTGGCTTTGTGAATATACCCGTTCTCAAGTGATAACAGTCATAGCCAGCGATCATGGTGTAAACCAGTGGCATGGCAGGCAGGTAATGTGTTCACTGCTTACTGGTAAACGGGCAGCGTAGGACAAGCTTTGATCCCTCCGCCACCGTCACGTTCTGCTTTTGGCGACGCTCCTCCGGTGTTAGGTTCGGGTAGATTCTTGGCGATGGATAGCACTCGAACACTTCCTGAGGTCATGAGGGGAACACAATAGTAGAAGTAGCGCAAGAAAATTATTGTTATGAAGAGCTCTTCCCATTGTCTGAAAATCGATAATTCAGGGGTCGAGTGGTCAATGAGAGTCGAAAATTATACATGTACTGGTGATCTAGGGGAAATTGTAGTAGATCCACTTTGCAAAATTGCAAATAGAAGAAACCTTTAACAAAAGCTACGAAAAGAAAAGTATGCGATGCTTAAAATGTCAAAAAGGTCTTCCCATGGTGGAAGTAAATTTTGTTCAGAATATTTTTTCTTTGCAACCTATCAGACTTATCAAAATGTCTAAATCAAAGCTGATAATAGCTGGGACATTTTTGGTGTTGTTGATGTCCATAGCAGCAGGTGTATAGCAGGACCATCATGAGAATACTTCAAAAATGAAATAACTGAAAATAAAATACGAGTAGCTCACCTGCATTGATGCAGGGACCCGGAGACAGATACAGGTATGGTTGGTCTGGGTCTCTGGTCTACTGTCCTTGCAACGGTATACACCGTCATGAACTGGTTTGAATTTTCCCTGGATGCGATAGCTGCAGCGCAAAAGAGTGCAGTGAGCAAATGCATTGAACATGAATGATAGCATCAACAAAAGAGACTGAGTTGAAGTCCGTGAGGCAGGATGGGATTACATGTGATATATTTGATTGATTTTTTTTTGATTGATTGATTTTTATTTCACGGATCCTCCAGAGGCAAATAGATGCCTATCGAAGGGAGTCTCCTAAGTAAGTATGGAAAATGAAAAAGTATGTTCGTAAGGGAGAAGAGGTAGAAGATACATTAGAATATAGAGTACAGAAGAAGTAAATTCAGTACTTCGGGTAGTACATTGCATGCTAATCATAATGAGAATTAGAAAAGCAGCATTGCGGACTACTATGCGATGATCATTTCAAGTCTTATGTTGATTGGAAGAATCAGCACTTTACGGTGCACTTTACACTTTACGATGTGGGTTTGGGTTTGAAATTCTTTATTTTACACATGCATTTTTCTCATTTCTTCTCCAGGGTATGATTTATTGCATTTCAATCCATTGTGTTAACTTACCCGTAAAAGAGGCTAGGAAGTGGCAAAAAAAATTACGGAGCAAACTTCTGAATATGTACGGTTATTCCAGTTTCGCACGGTTTGCACCAACAGTTAAAGGTGTTCAGCTCCTCTACCCAGGCCGAGTTCCAGGGGATTGCTAGACGTGGCTAGTATCTTCCAAATTCCGAGGAACCACAATGATGTAACACAAGAGCCAAGGGAAATATGCAACATGCAACATTTGTTCATACATCAAAGTGATTTGCATGTAAATGTACATGTATTCATTTTACCAAATATGTTGAACTGTCAAGTTGAAACTTACCTGCTGCCCTGGGTAACATTTTCTTGGGAGCCATTCGAAGTCAGGCTGATGTAGCTTGTAGCTGGGTCTGTGGTCGTGCAATCTATACGCATGGGAAGGCTGGAACGGCCGGCGTAGCGGCACTGCACAGTGCATTCCGGAGTGCATGCGCCGTCCGCCCACTTTGGTGTGTAATACGTGGCTAAGAAAAACGATATACATATACATGTACATACAGAACAGAACAGAACAACAAGAACAATCAAGGTTTGTACATATAAAAAAGGTCATCAATCTCAGGACATCTAGCTGTTCTGACCTTGTTCGGATTCCTGAGCAGAGCTGAGAGTTACTGGTCGAAAGATCACAATGAAATCACAATGAAATCTTATGAAAATGAAAGCATTCTAGACCGGCTCAAGAAGAAGCTACATGAGAATTTCTTCTTCTTTTTCTGAAGTAAAAGATGTAGCAACCCTATCCGGTGGCAATTTGAGATATTTCAACGCGAACGGAGCAAGAATATATTCACCATTGCGGTGCGAAAACCTAGACCAGTAAATGCATGTAGATTACGAAAAATTTACACCTCGCAGCCACTGCTCTAACTACTTTTTCGCAACGACTTCGGGTGCGTTTGTTTCGTACGATCTAGAACAGGATCGAACAGCTGGTGCACATGGAGCAACCTCATGCCAACCAAACGGTACTCCAGAAACAGAGCATATTTTGTGAAAAGGGTGCCAAACTAGGTGCATTCTTCAAAAATGTGTACGGGTTACCATGGTCACTTTGTACGGCACAACGGGTCCAACCCAAAATCGTATGCACGTGATCATTTGGGACCAAAATCGATGTTCCCCCCAGGTTTGACTGTGAAAGAGTGAAACGACTCGTGAAAAGCAGAACATGTTCTGGCTGACCCAGAACACGTGCAGTTCCAACCAAACTCGCTGTTCTGGTGAATCCTGTTCTAGGTTGTATCAACCGAACGCGGCCCTAAACAGGGTCATGCATGGGTATCCATGACCCTCCTCCCACCTCCCCCCCCCCCCCCCCCCATTCAACACACACGATTTCCCTTGATGCGTGCATGGTGTCGACTGTGAAGTATATGGCGTAGGTCAGTTTACGCAAGTCCCTGCTTTCTAAATGTCACAGTAATTTGTCAATGTTTGCAAACATATCAGGACTTTACAAATAGTTAGTACATTATCTTATTGGATGTCAGCACAATACGTCGAGCACCGACGGTATAGAATCAATGACAAACTGATTAATTAGCATCACGTGATGCACACTTGCACTTCAAAGACCTTACATAATTGTATAACTTTCAATCCAATAATGAAGCTTCTTTCCAGTGCCATTTGACATGCACGCACTTGAAAATCCCAGCCCTTTTCCAGGGAAACCTTGCATGTCACAACAGCCCTACTTCTTATTGGAACCGCTCAACGTGCGTATCAGTTCGTGTTGGCAAGGGAGCTCAAGGACCGAACATCATCCTCAAGAGGTCTTCAAAAGCCTTGAGTGATCAGCCCCTCTTGTAGAGGCTAAAGTACAGATCATCGTGCTTGCTTATGCATATTATGGGCTAAAAACACTGATCTACTCAAACGGTGCAAGTCTACCTACGACGAAACACTCCAACGGAGAACCATACTGATGTCATGTCTCAATACCTTCCATTGGTAATGCTTGAAAATGATAGACAATATACACTCCTGTAACACAACCCTGAACATTTGTTCTATTAAAAACCTAGGAAATACATATTATAACTTACATGTACGTCCAATCACCAGGGGTGTAGTGTATATGAGCAAACGTACGAGGAAATAATTCGATTTCCAAAAGGCAAAAGTGCGATATCGTTGCAAAGAGACTTCCCTGTCTAACGCTTTAGTTCTCCAGAATAAATTGTGAGCTTCCAAGACAACGTTTCGTATACTTCGTTTCCCCCTTGCCGCTTCAGTGAGTCTAGGAGTTATTTCATTGTTGATACATTGCTATCACGTGATTAGAAAACTTCAACAAACCTTCGCAGAGCACGAATTCATGTTCATGTCGCAGTCTAAACAAATTACTTTCCGCCTGACGGTCGACTGGAGAGCGTTTGAGACAATACCCAAATCTGTTACGACTCCGGCGCGCATACCCCAAACTTGCATTTACTGAAAAGGTGTGTTCAATGGATGCCACTGCACCTTACACGACGGAGTAGAAATGCTGTTGAGGCACAGCACACACCAGACTAAAACATGTACCTCAAACACGCAAACCCCATAAGTCCCCAAATCTCCTGTCATCATGCTGCATCCAACCAATCCCCTACTCAAAATCACATCAGCACATACCGTTCTCAGCGTAGACTCTCCAGTCCGATAGTTTCGGATTCTCCGGCGTGGCCAGCGAGGCTCGTCCCAGAGTAAGTAAAACGATAAGCATGAACACACAGTTCATGTTCTGTGCACGTTCAAGGACGTTCTCCATCATCATCATCAGCATCATGATCATCGTGATCTGCTAACGCTCTGAACTCTGGGTATCTGAGCAAATCGATTAGAGTTCGGTTTGTAGCGGGGCGTTCCTCAGGCTGGTCGCACCGATTCTGTTGATATCGCTGGAAGAAGGTTTCTCTTTCGGTATTCTTGTCCTTCTTGCTGAGCAATTCTCGTCTTGTTTCTGCTGTCCTGATGAGCTGGGCCGGGTTTTATAGCACTGCTGCGCTCCACTGCCTGTTCACTATGCATTTCAGCTTGCAGCGTAATTTTTAGGTGACCATGGTCGAACGGTGTTCCGGCAGGATTGGTAATCGACGTCGCGTTGGATCTCCCGTCTTCGACCAGCACGCCCAAACAGGTCAACGGAAGCTCCGGCTGTCATAGGGCTTTTCGGAACCAGGATCCTGGATTCAAGATTGTACACAGCATGCAGCCTACTCAGTACTCCTGCATGCGCTTCGGTGTCAAAGAGGCACCAGACGCGACAAAGACTACGGACAGGTTTGCCGCTTTTTGCACGTTCAAAAAATAAAATTAGGGCAAAAATCGTCGACTTCCCCCCAACCCGAAAAGCTAAACATGCATGTGCACGTAGAAAGTGGGAAGATGAAATGTAAAGTTGTCTATTTCCATGCCTGGCGCTTTTAGGACTGTTCTCGGGGTGAGAGGACTTCTCCGTGTTCCGCAGCGATGGTGCAGAACATCAATAACTCACAGTTCCTCCCTTCTTAACCCCTGGCTAGTTTTAACCACGACCGGTACACGGTTCGATGAAGCTGCGGAAATGATTCATAACCATTTGGAGAGCTAAGTCTGGGGAGGTTGCGAAACTTGTAGCCATAGCTACTGAAGAAGAGAATTTCTTGATCTACTGCAACTACATGTACATGTACATTCTACAACGGTTGTCAGGTTCAGGAGGCAGCAGTTGGATCTTCAGTCAGAACTAGATATTTTGTAGTTTCCCAAATGTCCAAGTCACACCTAATGTGGGCCCTGTCGGAATGAGTCAGAAGGTATTCCGAACAAAGATCGTAAGCCAGCACCGCCAATAATCCTTGTGGTCCATTTCCTTTGCTCACGGGCCACTGTAACGCCTTGGAAATAGCCATCATAATTATCTCTACACTATCATTCATTTGGCGTAGCGGATGGGGTTTACTGAGAGAAGGTCTTTGATCGACACATAACAGCCACTGCATGGGTGTCGCGTCCGTTGTTATAGTATTTTCCTGTGCCACAGTGCGTCGAGCATTCTTCACTGGAGTAAAGTGCTGACAGTGCAGAACCTACCATCTGACTGTGGAGACATACAGGTAGGTATCTGTACATTATGTGTTTGCACGTGAGTTATGACATACATGCACATGACTGTACTTCTGGTGACCAGATATCGTTGCTGCACGGCAGCCTGTGACCGAACTTCCTTCCGGAACGCTATGCACATGCTTCCATCACTTGGCGATCCGGCAATGTTTGGTAAACTGAGTTTATATGACTCGTACACGTGCTTGTACTTGTGCATACATGTTTGGGTTGTGGATAACTATTTACTTCGGTACACAGCAGTGAGTCCGGAGGGATGTTGGTGTTCCTTGGCGCCAGAGAGGGACTTGCCTGCATTACTGGAGTGGAGATCTCATCATCCTGAGATCCCATCTTACTGAGTTAAGTTTTGAAGTGGAGATGTAGCGTAACGCTTCATGTGCTGAAAGAATCCCAACTGATAACCTTCAAGAGATGATGCGCCACCCCGAGGCTAAGAGTTCAAGTTAAACAGAAATACTTTTGCAAACTAAAAAAGCCAATTACATCATACACAAAACTGGCATCATGACTCCGAAACAATCCAAAACCCTATTGGCCCACTGGCATTCCAAACATGTTGGCTAAATGTTTTCATTCCCGGAACTCAACTAACATTTTGTCTTGCTGAAGTAATGTCGCGTGTGTCGTAGATTACCCCTCTCGCATCAGCCCAGGGCTGCATAATTAACCCCTTTACCGTTTGTACGTACAAATTTCGACCGCTCGTGGTTGATGACTTCTATGCACACAGCGCTGGACCGGTTCATCGCAGGGAGCTTGGATTTTCCCTACTGATAGCCAACATGTACCCGAAGAGGGTGCCAACAATTTTTTTATGTGATGCGGGATAAAAAATAGCGGAAATTCCTACTTGAAAAATGCGGTTTGGGGAAAGTGCGTATCTGCTTTGGTATTGCCTGCAGATGTTCTCGACTTTCGCTTGAGCTGGCTTCGCGACTGTCTGCCATGCTGTGAAAACCATGGACGGGGAGCAAGCTCTTTTGCTTCTGGAGGCCCTTCCCGACGACCCTGTCGCCTCCTCATCCAGCGAAGATGGGTTTGTGGAGCCAGACGATCCTGTTGAAAATATTTTTTCTGACGACGATAACAACGATGACATGTTGAGTGAAAGCAGCACAAGCGAGAGTGACATGGATGTCACACACGAGTACAGTGCCGCTGAGATACAATGTAAGTGCTGCTAATGGTGAAAGGGGACATGGCAGAGGACGTGGCAGAGGGAGAGGAATAGGCCGTGGATTAGGCCGTGGTCGCGGTTGTGATCGTGGTGCACAGGTACAGCCAGCAGTACAACCTGCACTAGTCGATATTTGCAACACTTGGGAGAATGCTGACACCGCTGTGACTGGTAACACTCCTGCATCCCACAGAGAGAACGAACCTGGTATCCATCTACCCGAGGGAGCCACTCCAGTGCAAGAAATTGATTTCTTGCATACTTCAACAATTTGCTCAAACAGCAATACACCCAAATTTCAAGTGCTAAAATAATAGTGAAATATTATTTGTTTTTTAAAGACTTGAATAACACTCCTGAGGGGTTTTACTTTCAGAATCAACCTATTTTGTATTTAATAAAACTGAAAATTAAAAACGTTACAGCATCAACAATGGTGGTGTGTTTTTTGTTGTTGTTCGTGTCCACGTACAAGTACCTAAAACATTACAGGGTTGCGCCACGTCATCTTCTTCGTGCCAAGCGCTACCTGACGTGCCAGCCCGTTATATAAATACCACTGGCCATGCCTTGATCAGGGGTCATGCGTGAACTGATGGTGGCGGTGTTGCGAAGGGGAGATATGTTCCGGAGGATGACTTTCCAGCTTGGAAAGCCCGCACGGCCAGGGGTATATTAAATTTTACCAATATTTTAAACGTTAACGGAATGAGTCAAATGACTATACAGCTGCAATTATGTCATAAATTAATATCACCCGCATGACATGGATAGAGTAGCCGACTGGTGGTTCCGCACCATTTGGCCTGTAGAATTGTGCAGGGTATGTAGAGAAACCAGCGAAATTCCGTACGAATATCATTAATTTTGATATGATGAGTTTTCAAATGCATAAGAAAAGGGGGGGGGAAAGTTGACGGATTTGACTCGACTTTGCTTGTACGCCGAGAAGCCGGAAAGGGTGAAAAGGGTGGAAGAAGAAGGAATAATTATACCAACACGTTACTTAAATGATAGTGAGTAGTTAAAAAGGAAGAATATTTACTTCAATATGACTGTAAACAGTATGGTTCAAGCCTTCCATGGTCACTGTCGGAGAAATACTTGCATTGAATAATAGTCCATTGCATGTTTCAGATACCTCTCAAGACGAACATTATCGTGGTGTTGTCTCATCAGGCAGCACTTTCAAGGAATAAAAATAACCACGTCGGAGAAGTTTGATCTCGACTCTAAGTGTACAAGATCAAGTGCACCAGGACGAGTTGTGCACAGCCACCATTCCTATGCATTCCATTCTATCAAGATCGCTAAGCGTGCAGTAGTACCTTTTTTCTTTCTTTTTCACCATGTTCACAAACCCAGCTCATGATTATGGCGGTAAAAACACCCCTGCCCACACACGCTCTATGGGCTTCAAAGTTCTGGAACGGAGCTCTCCTTCTCGCCACCATCACCATCAGTTCGCGCCTGGCGCCTAGTAGATTCATGTTTAGCGGTATCCGACATAGCAAGCTGGTACATCAGGTATCGCATGGCACATAACAGTTAGAGATGACACAGCAACGACATAGCTCGATTGCGACTGTACGTTTCTTCCCCGCTGGATTCATCAGGCAATATTCTTCTTGGATGTCTTCATACCGAAGACATCCAAGAAGAAGATTGCCATGTGTGTCTTTACCACCATCTAATTCAACCGTAAGTACAGCTGCAGTGGTTTCTTCAACTACATACCCAGCTCGAAAAGAAAATGAACGACCATCGTACGGAGACTAGGACCAACCGTGCAAATAGTGAGCAGGAGGAGCACCGAGACGCAGCAGTGATGGTGGGGCATTGATGGCTCTGCTGACCTTAGGTCTCGGCATCACGGCCAAGAACACGCACCAGACAAAAACAAAAGATAGACCTGTACGGGTCAGGATACCGCACCTTGGAGCTAAAGACACATACAAACAATGCGATGGAGCGCAAAGAATGTAAAGTAGCTTCAATACTATCCGACGGTCAGCACTGGCAAGTGGCAACACTAGACACTCATCGCCAAAATATTCAGAACAGAGACGGTAACTACTAAATAGTTAATAGCTGATAGGCTTAGCATAACGTCCGCACTACTCTTTGTAGGGGAAAGATATAGGCTAGAAACAGGTGTGTGGGTCGTGGCCGGCCCTGATGAAGTGATGTACTCTGTGGCATTGCTAGTGACCATAGTTTCTGAAGTTATCATGCTAGTGTGTTCTGCATGTGCAATATATGTCAATTGGGAACTGAACGCACACAGGCTGGTTGTGAATTGCATGCTCACACTAACAGCTGTCTCAGTCAGGGTGGTCAGGTTGCCAAGAGAGAATGCCTCCCAGTACGGACCATACACCCAGAATCCTTGGTACGAGAACTCCCAGTCATCGTTGAGGGATAAAACTGGGAATGCGCGGAGAAAACGATGTAATGGAGCGGCTAGGTTTGTGAGCTCCGTCGTCGACCTTACTGCGAATTTCACTTCCACCAGTGCCCCTCCTGCTGCAGTGCAGTTCATTAGAGGGATTACATCGTGGGGATGGCTAAACGTCGTGCATACGTCCTCAGTGGTTTCGTCCAATTGCATAGCAAGCGGTTTCTCGAGCGAACAACATGAGCACAGCTTGCTGAAGATATCGGTGAGACGTTGATGCCAAAGTCGAGAGAATTCAGTCTGAGCCGGACAAACCCGCAAAGAACAGACAATAAGGAAACCTGTTAAATTCTTGGATTAATTAAATGAGTGTGGAGGTACAGTGATTGTAAGGTCATGCGCAAGGTGAGTTTCAAAATGTAGCACCATGAATTATTCTGCTTCTGATGTAATCCCAACAGGCTAATG